GTGAACCTAAATAGGGGTCTAAGGTGGCATGCAAAGCAGTCACCGAACCACATTAAGGTCATCATCCAAAATGCCCCCAACCCCGGAAGACAAGACCTCAGAACATAATAACAACCATATGCGTATTGAAAATGCCTTTCAAAAAGAATGCACCACAAAATAAATGAAATTTAAACATATGGGATTGTATACAATGAGACCATTTACCTTTGGGTTAGGGAGATCACAATTACTTACAACCATCCGATGCGAAATCTGATAGCTTGGATGTGTCACAAAGTTCAAGAAAAATTCTTTTGAACTTTGAGCTTGGTCAATGAAATAAATACAGCCACCCAATTTCACATCCAATGGACAAGATTAATTGTGACCATCTTGTACCAAAGGTAAAATGGTCTCATTATATACTTTCCCTAAACATATACCAAACTATTTTGATGTGTAAGATCAATTCTTGATGTATGCCATTTGGATATTCAAATCCGATGATGTATGATATCTCTAGGTCCTTGGGAAAATGGCACACTTCCCTAGCAAAAAATAATTTAATTTCATCAACGACTAGTGACAGAAAGAACACCTCATCAAAACCTTCCACTTTAGCCTATGTAACATGCAACTGCAAATGGACCACAATTTTTCCAAATGACATTTACTAATAATACCAAAAAGAGCACACTTTCAATATATTGGGTCGATGATCCAAGAAAATGGAGAGATTGAGGAAGATATCGCACATAGAATTAGAGCTGAGTGGGAAGACGTGGAGATGTGCAACCGGAGTTTTATGTGATCGCCGCATACCAATGAAGCTGAAGGGCAAGTTCTATAGAATAGTTGTGAGACCAACTTTGCTTTAACAGGCAGAATGTTAGGCGGCAAGAAACAACATACCTATAGGATAAGTGTAGCTGAGATGATGATGAGTAGCAAGACAATAAGGCATAGAATTTGAAAGGAAGATATTTGGGAGAACTTAGGTGTGCCTCCAATAGGTAATAAGATGCAAGAAAGTAGGCTTAGTTGTTTTGGCCACGTGCAGCACATACCCAATACAACACCTATTAGGAAGTGCAAGTTAGTTGAAGTGGAAGGCTCAAAAAGACAACGGGTAGGCCTAAAATGACATAGTTGGAAGTAGTGAGAAAAGATATGGGGACTTAACGCCTCACAAAGGGTATGGCCCTTGATACAACAGAATGGCAGACCAGGATTTGTGTAGCCAACCCCAAATAATTGGAAAAATGCTATGATGAAGATGACAGTTATTAATGATAAAGAATCAGAAGACTTTTAACCAAAGCTAATATCCTAGTTTTTGGGAAAAACTAGTCAAACCCACCATATCAACTATCGATCAGAAATCAGCATGTGGTTTGATAGCTAAATATTCTCTAAGCAAATAGCGTCTGATGCCACTATCAATCTCATCACCACTACATAATTGGTTAAAATTTTTCTAACATTCCAAACATCAAGACATTCACCTAGCATTGTTGCATAAACAGACATACAAAACCTTTTATGGCGATAATGTTAACACAATGACAATACCATTCAACTTTAATGAACCAACAACTTTAATGCATTGATAATACTATTCAACTTTAATGATCTCTAGATATCAATGTCGCTAAATTTCGCCTCAAATACCTCTTTGTTTTGGTTGGCGAGGGAAGAAAAATAAATCAGCTGATTCAGGTACGACTTCAGGTTTTAAATGTAAATAACTAAAAACTTTAAACTATAAAGGTTCTATAACTTCATAGTTTTATAAGATTTGTTTTTTTCTGAAATATCGCTAATATTTTCAAGGGAAAACGACCTCTACCCCCGTCCCCATAATTTCCATCCCTATTAGACCCTTGGCTTCACCAAAATCCCTTGTACCCCCATCAAGTTCAAAACTTTGGGACCATTAGCCCCCCAATTATGTTTTTCTTTGATCCTTTGGCAAATTTGATCCTTTTGTTTTGCAAAGTGCCGAACCCATCCATTAGCCCTTCCATTTCTCTTATTTTGCCCAAAACCAATCTTACCTCCATGGACCCCATTCTACAAATTTAAATTTGAAAAGAAAATGAAATTTTCTTAATATTATGACCTATTTTATAATTGCATCAATATCTTTTGACCTTGCTAAATGATTAATCAGATCATTTTTACTATTGTTAATGGATTATTATTATTATTATTATTTATTCATTTATTAAAGAAATTTATAAAAATAGCTATAAGAGATGAACAATTTAACAGCTAATATATATAGTTGTTGTTGTTATTCTTATTATTATTATTATTATTATTATTATCAATAAAACTTGTATATCAAGTCATAAAGAAAATATAGATGATTAATGGATGGGTTTGGCATTTAGTAAAACAAAAAGATGAAATTTCTAAAAAGAATAATTGGGGAACTAACCGTCCCAAAGTTTTAAACTTGACGGGGTACAAGGGATTTTGTGAACCCAATCGGGATGGAAATTATAGGGAAGGGGGTGTAGGTCATTTTCCCTATTTTCAAAACACCAATGATATCTTACCTGTATTTGCATATTTTACCGATATTCTAAAAAAATTGCCAACATTTTACTGGTATTCTTAAAGTACCGGGTGGGGCTCACTGCGCTTTAGTTGAGGCAAAGTCAAAGACTTCAGCCTCTCCAAGAGAAGCCAGGCCAATCTAGTAGCACTGCTAGATTAAACAATTCCAAGGCAAAGACCCAATGTAGTGTAGTAACTCAAGGGCAAATGTAGCTGCTGCTATAGAAAATATCCCTCACTTGTCACCCAAAAAATAGTAATCAAAAGTAAACAATGTAACGTGAACGAACAACCAACGAAATAGTAAGAGCACAAAAGATCAAAGAATAAACACTAAAGGTAATCTCAAATGCCCAATACACTCCAAAAGCAAGCTAAGGATATGTATAATGGATACAACAGTTCCACAAAGACGACAATGTGAAGAGTTTGTTTTTTTTTTCTTGGAGAAGTGTTCACGGACAATCAGAGATTTGTTACCTAACGAAAAATAAAAATCTGAGATTCTTTTTTTTTCATAGTTGTAGGGAGGGGGAATTCAAGTATTATTGTTGGCAATCTGAGATTTGTCAACAAAAATCATCCTAGAAAACAGATTTACCAAAAAAATAACCAACCTACATATTGCTTTTTCCTTACATTGACTATTGACTATGTAACATGCAACTTCTCAATTATCCTATGTCATATGACAATCCTTGGGTCAAGCTTCCAGTTAAGTATGACAGCATCCACATTATTATGATTATTTATCTTGAGATCATATGATGCATATTATGGTTATTAGACAGCTCAAAAATTCAAAAAACAAAGTGATGCACATCACCTCAGGAAGTAATATATATTGAAATTGAGATATTACTTTCCAAACAAAATTTATATCGAATTTGTTTCAAATTTCCAAATTACAATAAATCTAGAAAACCATAAGAATTCTAGTGAAACATTCTGTAAAATGCCTAATGTTCTCACAAACACAAGAAGTTCTAATGACCCTGCTGTAAAATAAGCATTAATCAACTGGATCCACCTTCCTCTCAACAAATTAGTCTTGCCCAACATAAGGACTAAAATAGTCAAGTTAAAACAACTTTCACATTGTTTCATAGGGCAATACATACACATTGAGAACTAATGTACATGTAAAAGTAACAGCAAGAATCAGAAACATAAGTGATCAAATAAAATTAAGATAGAGTAAGCTGATCTAATAACAAACACGTCTATCATCCAAATTTTATGCATGGGTCAATGTGACTTATTCTTAGTGGAACATTTCGATAATAGGATGACGAGTACATCTACGGCCATGGGAAAAGCATATCAACAGAACTCATGATTATGTATTTTGACAAACCCTGCCAAGCATGAAGCAGGAGAAGGTCCATTTTCTAGAACGTTAAATTGGGACCTGGTGAGAATGGACCTCTAAACAGCATGTTATCGCACCGCCACCCTGAATACCCAGCATCAAATGTTCCTATTACTGTTTATTCCAACCATATAAAATTCCCCAATGTAACCAACAGCATTCATTAAATCAATAACTGCAATAAATGCCCAGCACCCCAGCCTGGCAAGACATAAAAGAAGCTTGTAGACTTATGCAAGCTCTCATTAGTTTTGAACTATAGAAAAAAAGCTGTCATTAGTTTTGGTTTGACTTGAACCGGTTCGAACATAATAAACCTCAATGAGGGGGATATTGCAACAATAAACACATTCCCAACAAAAGAGATACATTTCAACCAACAGCAACCAAGGGAATGTATTCTTGCATCAAGCCATCAATGATGTCAATTAGGACTATTTAGCTCTCCATTTATAACCAAGCAAGTAAAACTCTCACAGAATAGAGAAGTGCATTTTACATTTATTTCGACTACCCAGGGGCCAGGCCCACCATGATAGTGTATCATTGTCTTCTATATTTTCATTTTCATCTAACATTCAAAGAGAAAATAGAAGTACAACATTAGTTTTTAAAGTGATAGTGAAGAAGCCCATGTTTCCTAATTCATTTTAGAGACCACTTAAGCAATTCCAGGAAATATCAACATCTGTTGATTATGATGCTGCCTCCTCAATGAAGCATATACACAATGATATCATAAAACCATCAATTTGGCGACTATAATTTCATAGATACCAATATAGCAGTAATTCTGTCCACCCATTAATGGACATCATCTTTGAATGGTGCCGTGTCTGGCACCTACTGAACAAGAAATTGCTTCCTAGGATCACAATATAATTTGAAAGTATCCCACGTGCATCCACAATTCTCCACGCATTGATATACAAATCATTTTCCATGCAAAAATAAGGAAACGAAAAATGCTACAATACTCGGCAGCAAAAAAGCTCCAAAGATTCACCAAGAATGTTGAGAGAGAGAGATATCCCACCAGCATTACCATTCTTTAAAGCTAGCAAATGTTATGGATTCTTACCAATCTTTGCAGCCTTCACACTGGACCATAAGATCATCCGGGTTATAAGGCATTTCGCATTTGCAGTACCTACAAATATTTAATAACATAAGACTTATGTCAAGCACAAATCAAGAAAATGATAAATAGGACATAACCTAATCAGCCAAACACACAGTACAACAAAAGCAAGACCCCAAACGATTAGTGTTTCTCTATTCCTTACTTCCCAAAGAAACACAAATGACCTCTACAACTCAAGAATGTGTCTCCATAATAAGACAAGACATTCAACAAACAATTCAGCAACCCAATGCAACTCTTCCTCCCCCCCCCCCCCCTCCGCCCCCTCCAAAAAAAAAAAGTAAAAAGAAAAAAAACAATACACACACACACACTTACATCCACCACCCCAGAGGAGCTCCATAATTTCTTTAGTTTGCTTTTTTTAACAATTTTAAAAATATAAATCACAAGGCACTTATCTAGGATAAGTCACAAGAAAATATTCAGGATTTCACAAGTGAACTCACACAGCAACTCTGTCAGGGGTGAAGCCACCAGTGGCAGCCTTGTATTCGAAGCGGCAAAAGTAGTCCTCAGCTCCGACATTCTCGAGCTTAGTGTAGTTCTTGAATGAATGAACAATGCACTTTCCCTCAATGGTGTGTGCACTCTGAACATCATAATGGTCAGAGAGGAAGAGCTCCTTGGCCCCATGGAACTGCCTCCTCCCGCCAATCGACTCTTCAGGGCGATAGTACCACCTTACCCGCACCTTCACATTGTTGCGATTGTCGCTCTCTATCTTCTCCACACGAGCCACATATGGGGGTTTGTCTGAGTCGGATGGGCGCATCAAAACACAATCGCCGGCTGATGCCATTACGAAAACCATAAAGAAAATCAAATTAATCCATTTCAACTCAACATAAAAGCCAGGGGGGGGGGAGGGGGAGAAGAGACAAAAAAAAAAGAGAAACTGCTAAATGAAGCCAACAATCAATTCAACGTTCAAAAGAAGGAAAGGAAAAGCAACAGTCAACTAACTCATCCATAACCTTTGTTTGAATCTGATAACATAGATGACCAAAAACACATTTAGCTGAAAAAAAAATACAACCCCGTGACCCAAAGAACAATCTTTTGGATTGACAACGATATTTGGCTCTGCTAAACCAATCCATTCATACATCCAGATGTTTCACTGGAATCCCATGACCCATGCCACCAATGACTCAAAATACACATTGAACTGTAAATTTATGCCACCCAAATGTCCAAAATCATGTTTAGTAGCAAAAGCAAACTATCCAATGAGCTGAGAAAATAAATTATCTGCAAAACCATTCCATTATCCATCATTCCTTTGATTCAAAAAGCAGTGGCGCAAGACCCAGATTAGCTGCAAATGATATACCCAACGACCGAAAAATCACATTTTGCCACCACAACAAAATACCCAATGCCCAAAACCTCGTCGGGAGGAAAAAAAACCAATTCATTTTCCATCCATTCATGTTACTCAAAATTCGACCCAAAAACCATACTTGCTCCAGGCCATACAACCTATGACCCAAAAACCACATTTTTAGAAGCAAATCTATTCATGCAAAGTGGTGAGGGAACCACATTAAGCTATGAAACCAACCCACAGACTAACTCCAAACCACAATTAGCTGCAAAAACAATCCTTGCATTCGTCCACTTTTAATTCACAAACCTGAATCATATTTAGCTACTAAACCATGAAACCCATTTACCCAATAACCACTTATCTGTACACTCACGCTTATCCAATGAGCCAAAAACCACATTGAGCTGCAAAACCATCTAACCCAAGAACAAAAACCACATTTTGCTACAAAGAAATGCTACTCAATGACCTAAACACCACATTTAGTTCCAAAAACATGCCTTAATGGGAGAAGGGAACCACATTTCTCTGCGAAATAAAAACAATTTTTCAAAAGGAAAAAAGAAAGAGCAAAACAAATAATCGAAACATTATTCACATTCTGAGAAAGTTCAAAGGAACCCAGAGATGAATGAGAAGGAATGGATATCAATAACAAGGTAAATGATGGTTTATTCTCCTTCTTCTCCCATCTATACCTCTAACGACCTTGTTAGTGCCTTTGATGGTGTAGGATTCCAAGTCTTTCTTCCCCGGCTTCGTCTTCGCCATGCTCGTTCTGATACTGCACGCAAAAGCGTATTGTCCCCAGAAACCAAATAGTTAGGAGAGAGAAAGAGTGACAAAGGAAAAGAGAGACAATGAATCTTCTCTGCACTCCTATCACCCGTCAAGGAAGTGAGAGAAAGAGCACAACCGCGTTACCGTCTGCGGAAAACATGCCATGGCCCAAGAGGCGTCAACCATTTACAACACTGGAATCACTTTTTATCCCTTTCTCTCTCCTCTCTCTAGATTTGCTCTGAAATTTTTATAGTTAATAAGTGAGCTGCCGCAAAAATGGGAACGAGGAGCTCGTTTTAAACCCTAACCAAGGAAGAGAGAGAATGATGAGGAGATGATGAGAGAGAACGGAAGGGAGGTGAGAGATGGCCACTGAGGAGACCACAGCACCAGTGTGTGTGTGAACAACAGAAACCCTAAAATTTTCCGACAGTCACCAGACCACTAAACCCAGCCCCCTCCTCTTACAACCCCAGACCCTTTAACTGACGCACTCTAAAATTTAATTTAGTAAATAATTTTACACTCCTCTCTAATCTTCCCCCCCTATCTCTATCTCGTTCATCATACACGTAAGCTAAGCTAAAAGAAAAAATACACCAGCGGCTATTTTCAAATCAAAAAATATTTGAGTATTTCTTGATTTTCAAATTTTGAGGTAACCTCCACCAATTTTTACGATGACAAATTTTCACACTCGAAAATCGGAAAAAATATAGCCCTTAGCATGTAAAAAAAAGGCTTGTATACTTCTTTTAAAGCATGGAAGGTATATATTTTCCCTCCATCAAGCCGTCCAATTTAGATCAAATGAGCTATTGACCATTTGATCTAAGATCTAACGTATCAGAGTATTTTATGTTTAATTTTTTCTACAAATTATATAAATATGAAATTTGGTACGTGTCATCTCCTCAATGGGATGTACCTAAAAAAATATTAAAAAGAATTTTTTGATAAAACATAATGACCAAATACCAGTTGAAACTTTCAAGGGTATTTTGGCTATTTTATTTTATTGAAAATATTTTTTTATACTTTTTACAAGTGTCAGTTTAAGAGATGAGTGAACCCTCAAAATTTGATGCAAAAATATTTTTTAGAAACAAATTAAAAATAAAATAGTGTAGAGATGTAACATTGTGATTAGGGTCCTCTCAACTGTCCATTCAAAATGGATGGTTGGATAGGGAGAAGTATATAAGTTTTATGCTATAGGAAAAGCATAGAGTTTGCCCTAAAGAAAAAAAATCTCATTCGGTCTTAAAACATTGATGGGCTCAAATTCAAAAAGCAAAAAAAAATCAAACTTTATGGCACACTCATTGCTCCTATATTTCACATGCTATAGTTAAGGTTATACCAAATCTTCAATTATATAATTCCTAATCACTCAAAACTAATTTGTTTATTTTGAGAATACTCATACGATGATTTTAAATAAATCTCAAAGTTTTATATCAATAAAATAAATAAATAATCTAAATAATCAGATGCATATAGGATGCTCCTAATGGAGTTAGCATTTGTGCTCCTAAAGCTAAATATACCATTAAAAACTAATATTACCGTTAAAAGTAAAAACACAGGAAATTATCAAATATATCTCTCAAATTTTTGGATATTATTGATATAACAAAATCTTGCTTTATTCTATACTCATACCTATTTTCTCCAATTTTTTAAATTAATATCCTTTTGCCCTTATTGCAGACTTGATACATCCATATTGCTACAACACCTATGGATCTAACACATCCATGGTGTTTATTTGAACTCATGAACTTGCCGGCACGAATTAATCTAAAATTTCCAAGAGCCTCGTTATTGCCATGGATTAGTGGTGGTGTGGTCATGTGGCAGTACCCAAGGCATTCATGGGGGCATGGGTTTAGACAACTGACACAGATGTATTAGATTTGTAACGGTTGTATGGTCACGAGTATATCAAGTTCGTAATGCGGGTAAAATGGAGATTAATTGGAAAAAAGTGGAGAAATTGGGTATAAGTAAATTATATGAGATTTTGGTATATCAGTGAAAAATCAAAAAATTAGCGAAACATATCTTTATCCTTATAATTTCCCTAAAAATATTACAAAATCTTCTATATTTCGCTAGACGTAATCCTCTCATTTACTGCCATAATCTCTCTCATTTACTGCTCATTTACAGTATTTTATAAGCATGCATACTAATTTTAATCACATACATGCATACTCTCTGACTTGAAAGTAGAATTATAGAGAGAAAAGATGCCCCTAATTTTTAAGTTTCTTTTAAGAAAGACATACTTTATATGGGAATCTGAACCTTCCAAGGGGGTTCCTCCCTCACCTCTATATCTAGTTTTTCTCCCGTCCGTAGGTTGATTGAGTTCTAAAAGTTTTCATGGTGCCCCTTTTGAGTTGAACTTAAGTTTTTCTTGTGGCTTTTTATATTGAAAATATTCCCTAAGTGAAGTTAAAATAATTTTGGGATAACAATTTAAGAAGTGGAAATATGCGATGAAATCCATAGTAGTGAAAAACTAAAAATATCTTGAGTATGTGACTCACAGGAATTTGAAAAGAGAAAATATAATAATATAAATTGACTTTGGTAGAAATAAGTCACAGTTACTCTCAACTGTTAGACGTAAAATCCAGAAGCTGGATAATGTGGCATTGATGAAGGTTCAAAAATATTTTGAAATTTTTTGTGACGCACGCCAAGTCTTTGGATATCATATCTTATCACTAAGAGTGTTGTGACAATATCATATGAGATATAAAAAAGTCTTTTAATACACAAACTAATTAAAACAGAGCCGTAACAAACATAGCCATGGGCCAAATTATGGAGTGAAAAATAGACCAAGCTAAAACTGCATAGAAAAGCTTAAACATGATGTTGTGAATGTTTTGATCAAATATAGCCATGAGCAAATATATAGAGTAAAAAAATAGACCAAACCTAAACTGCATAGAAAACTAAAACATGATGTTGTGAATGTTTTGATCAAATTTACCAAAAAAGAGAGGCAAATGTCAAAAAAGAGGTTGAAACTCCTTACAATACCACTAAAAAGGTCAAAAGATTACAAATTACAGTAGACGATATTTTTAAATTCTTTATGAATCAAGTAAGTCCACAATATAAATGTTAATTTTTTTCTAAACTGCCCCTAATCAGAATTCAGAAGCCTAAATAAATAGGCGTACTTTGATAGATTTACCCCAAGAGGTTTTAATTAAATGCTAATTAGCGGTAAAATAACCAAAGTATCCTTAATAGTTTTGGCTTCTCAACAACAAACATGGATAATTTAGGAACTTTTTACCTTTTTTCTTTCCAGGATGTACTTGATTGATATAAAAATTTAAAAGCATACCCTTAAGTACAGATTGTCATCTTTTGACCATTTTAGTGATATTTTAAGGGGTTTCGACCTCTTTTCTTATATTTCCCAAAAATGAATGTTTTAATCATTCTTTCCCTCCTCACATGAACATGAGACTCAAACTTGAAGATGGAGCATCTAGAGTTGTCAATGGATTTGCCAAGACAGGGCAACATCACGTCTCGTTGAGGATATAGTGGAACTTGCTATACTTTTTACTTTGAGCGTGTATGACATGCTCTTGCAGGAGGATATCATATATTAATTCTCTTGATCAAGAAAGCTATTTGAGAATTTTTCTACTTTGAAATTTTGGAGTCTACTTATTTTCAAACATAGAAATTTGGATTTTAATTTCTTCAAAATCTAGATCTTGCCCTATAAAAATTTGCGAGTCCCCATTCAATCTTGGTAATGGAATTATGACCTTTCAAGGCCTTAAGTTCACTGCCATCACTGTTTAGAGTCATAGTGGAAGTGACCACGAACATAGTTGCTATCGAAATCTTTGCTCTTTGGGATTCAGATCAGCCAAAATAACCCCAATTGAATGCGGAGAAGTTCTTGGACTATATTATGAACCGAGAGAATTGAGAGTTTCCTGCTAATTAGGGTCGGTATGTATGTGTTTGTCTCATGACGTGTGAGTCAGGGCTTAGGGATTAGTGGATCCCGTATTGTTTGAGATTTTTGTGTACAAGCCTTGTGTGAGTTAAACTAGGCTCTAAGAAAACATAAGCCCATATGTAGCTTTGTTTATAGGGCAAATCGGGGAGATCTTCAACGGAAGATCCCTCAGATCTAAACACTACAAACTTGTTATCAAATCTATTAAAAAATGATCAGATCTGCTCTCAAATAAGTGGCAGAGCCGGCATCAATTCTATGCATGAAATCTTAAAAGGAAAGAACTGAAAACTACTTAAATCTAATAAATAAATAAAAGCATGGAGGAGAAAAATTATCTCACCGACCCAGTTGGCCTGAAACACCTGAGGCTTCAAGGCCTCACCCGTATCAGGACCGCAGCTATGATTTACATCGTACGTCCTCCGTGTCTCTTTTCAAAGTTGACCAAGTCTTGGCTTGGTTGAATGTTGTTTTCTTGGATCTAAGTTTGAAGGTTGCAAGCCAAGGTTTAATGGCCTAGGGTATTTCTAGGGTTTTGCCTAGGCTAAGGTTTCTCTGCTCTCACTATTCTTCTCTCTAGGCTCTCTCTGTCTCTCATATTTCTTGGCATACAGGCTAACAATGTCTTTGACATTCCAAATTTTTTTTCTCTCTCCCTAAAATGGTCTCCCAAATATCTTTTTAAATATTACAAGGGCGTGTAAACGGATAATTATAAAAAACCACCAAATCTGCCAAGATACTAGATCACAGGAAGGGGACTATGAATGATATTCTATGGTTCAGAGATCTTATTGAATAGTATGGTCCTAAAAGTTTAGAAAAACCATGGAATTTACTAGTTTCAAAATGGGGTGTCTACAGTTGCCCTCTTTGGCACCACTGTCCTACAAGGTACATGGGTGGCAAAGTAGTAGACACTATAAATATTTTAAATTTCTTCTTAACTTTTTATGGTCAGAGGGCACACCAACTATCCCTCCAAGACATTGTTCTCCCCGCTCACTCACCTAAGGCATTTTCATCCTAGGGTTTTTGGTGTGAGATGTTCCAGTGATTTTTGCAAGCTTGCAACTCAAGTTGGATGTTTTGGCCATGCCATTTAACTTCAAGGGTTTCACAATTTCTAATTTGTAAATCTGACATTTTTCCTTTATTTTTTGTAGGGCTTCCTAAGGTTTCAAAGGCTTTACTTAATGGAAAAATGTTTCTCGATTAAATCTGAAGAGAGAGATGAGGAGGCATAGTGGTTATATCATATACGGGTGTTCAAGCTCCTTCATTTTAAAAGTCATTTTAGAAATTTTGAAAATAGGGAGAGATTTGAAGTAGAACCTGGAGCTTGGATAGGTCACAATTTTAACAAAAAAATTGAGGTTTTTGAAATCATAAGACATATATTGAAAATTTTGAAAATGGAAAGATATTTTGAAAAACAAATTTTGGTTAACAGTTTTAACTCTTACAACTAT